CATCATCATCATCATCATCATCATCATCATCATCATCATCATCATCATCATCATCATCATCATCATCATCATGCAGATGCGAACGTTTTGACACTCACCAGATATCAGGGGTGAAGAGAACTCGCAATAGTTGCATTTATATACTAACTCCTCGTGCATACGCCCATCTCAAACCTGAGTGACCACTGTTCTCAGACTGCCAAGGAACCAAGCAAAATCCCACTCGGTCAGTCAGTTGTTTTCAAGCTGTTGCCCCCGCTCCAGGAGCTGCAGGGCCACTTTCCGTCGGGTAGGTGTCGCCCAAGAACCAGCCAGGTGTCGACGTTTTCCCTCAACTGGTTGGTCAGGCATTCAGGGTCACCATCCATAGCTACCTGCCGAAGTCGGACAGCAATGCTAGCTGAACTATGGTACTACCCAGACACTCCTGGACCCTCATGGTTTTGAGGGGTCTGGGGTTTCTCACCAATCTCTATGGTTTTGAGGGACCAGCCGGGCTGTTTTCACGGAGCGTTTGGGTATAGATGCATGAATATAGGGTCCCAGTTCAGGTCTCTCGACCTCTGGCACGGCCGAACTGGCCGGAACCCGAAGGAGAGAGACCCTCCAGGCGGCCAGACCTTCGTCCTCAGCCGGGACTGGGCGACTGCGGAACCCAAACCACGCCCGGTTTGTAGATGAACATTGCACCACAGGTCACTCAGAATTTCCATGGAGTCCATTGGTGTTCCGGCCGCGGTCTTCCCCACCCAGGCACCCTTCATGATGGAGGTCGCCGAGCGCACGGATGCAGTGACTGGATGGTGAAATTCGGGCGAAACCGCGTGGGGCGGAAATGGGCTGCGGCGGAACACCGGCATCACCGCGAAAAGGACTCACACTAGTGAAGTGAGGGTTCCGAAAGTCACAAGATTCCTCTCAGTTCATAAAATGTAGGGATCCAAGTACCTTCTCAGAAGGTGTTTTGGGTTTGGAGGGTCCAAGTGCCTTCTGAGAAGGTACTTGGATCCCTAGGGAAACATAATGATGAAAACGATAATTAGGGGATATTAGGGGTAAGAGTTAGAGAAGCTAAGTCTAGATCATGGGATGGGATGTGTTCGTGTGCGTGGGGAATCCCAAAAAGATCCCCAAAGAGAGAGACTTTGGACGAAGCGTCCTGACCGGTCTTCGTGTCGTCCTCACCGTTTTCGTGTCGTTCTGAACGGGACCGGAGCAGCGCCAAGGACAAGAAGGGTGGTCATTTAGCTCAGAGCAAGGCCTGGGAGTCGAAAAGGTGTTGAAGCGATGGTCATGTCCTCCACATCGATGCACTGCTAGCAGGTTTCATGGATAGCTTCCATGAAGGTTCATGATCCATATTATTGTATATCATGGTTTCCACGTCATTTGCATTCCTCAGAAATCCCAAGAAAGGCATGGAGGATTTCAGGCCATTGCAGGTGAGGCCCACGCTCAGAAGTCTTTTTCGATCTGCAGAGCACGTGAACAGGGCAGACTGGGGCACTTGCCGGGATGTGTATGTCAAAGGGCGATCCACAATTCTTGGTGGTTTCCCATACGCTTGAAGTTACATTCTGCTAGTATGTAGCTCTATCTATATAAATTTACCTCATCGCTCTAAGGCCGGTGGCCTGCTGCTGCGTGAGTCCGCGCAGTGCCCCGAAGCCGACGAGAAGGACGTGTGGTGTCCGCGCGCGCACTGGAGGGATGGTGGAAGTTGAGGTAGCGGAACTTTCCCCCAGAACTTATTGTGTTTCCTGTTCCTGTTTGCATGTGGGTTTAAAACCCACTGTTTGTGGAGGAAAGTAGTCTTCCAAGAGGCCATGCCATCCACTTCCATGTCAGTGAGCCAGAGTGTAAGCCGCTTTCCCAGAGCAGACGAATGGGATTGGAATAGTTACCATCAACCATGGGGTCATTTGGATGGGACAAATAATGTAGGTAACAGGTAACTATTCGATTCCAGTCCCATGGATGGTCTGGGGTTGGATGGTATGGTTTGTTTTCAACCTTTACTTGGGATGATTGATCCCACTTGGGATGATTGATCCCACTGACCATTTCGTTTCGCTGAAACCACCAGCCAGATGCGGTGTGTCCCAGTCACCACATGATCCTGGCTCTGGACCCTAAGAAACCACTGCTCCTTATGCTGCCGGACCAAGTGGATCATTTACTTGACTTGGGACTTAGGAATAAACTCAACCTTTCCTTTTCCCTGGACCTTAGGACCAACACGGCTGAAGCTCGCATGACAGCGCTCCGCTCCTGTTTGAAACTCGCGACGCCGCTGACGGCTCCCAGGAGTTCCAAAACACCAGCAAGTGCGAATCTTAGACACTGCTTGCGCAGCGTCCACCAAACACTGGGAGGGAGAAGACCGGAGAAAGGCATCTCAGATTAGCAAGAGTATCCAACAATTGATGAATGGACACATAATGAAGCAGCTTGCTTTGAAATCGTTTTGCCCCAGGACCTCCGGGCACGAGGAAGACTAGACTAAAAGCAATTGGCGCGTATTGGCTGCTTTTTCGTGTTCCCATGGACGCACCCATCCCCCTGCTTTTGACCATGTCCCCCGTGCCCACGTATACTTGATCACTCCACCAAAGGGGGCTGAAACCCGGAACAGAGGGATGGTGGGGGGTATCGACACCATGGTTTCCTTATCAGTTGATTAAGAGTACGTAAATGGCACAACCCCCAGATGTTTTTTCGGGTGGGGATCCAGATAAACCACCGAACTGGAGGGATATTTTGCCATCTTCTCTCAACTAATATGGCATCCATTCAAGCCACCTTCATCGACTACAGATTCGCATCCGATGCCCTCCGTTTCAACGGTCGTTCAGACAAGGGCCCCGTGGTGTGGCGCCCGCCATGGTGTCCTAATTCTACGGCACCGTGAGCCACGCCGTGGCCTCTCGTGGCTCGTGTGGCTCGCTGGGACTAGGTACAAGTTCTTCAACACCAACAACTTGTGGGTGGACCTTCGAGCCCTGAAGGAGTGGAACTCGGCCCAACTCGCTGCCTTCGCTGCGCTTTCGCTCCGAACCGGTGGGATGTTGGGCGTGGAGATGGCCGGTGATGCAATTGGGAGATGCAAGAGATACAGTATGACAGGGGGGGTGAACAAGTCCTGTTGGACCACACATAGACCACATATACTTATTACTTATCTCATTGTACTCATACTGCATCGCAAACGAGTGGGCTGTCTAGTGACAGGTTGACCATCACCTACATGATCATTTGCAGCAAAACCTAATTAAATCGGACACGGTTTGTCACTTGTATATGGGAGAGGTGTTTTTGTTGGCTCAGATTCTGCCGAGCTATACCTTTGCAACCCACTTTGCCACATGCCCTTGTGTTTCTCTCGGGGCACTTTGCGGGGCTATAACTCAGAAATGCAACCAGTCCCCTTGGAAGTGTTCACCCAGCAGCGGTCTGAGCTCAGACATCGCAAGACCCATGACAAATCATGACCACACCTTCATGATTCTTATTATATAACCTTAATGAAAGGGGTTTGTTCAATCCAAATGGGGGTTTAATCCATCAAACCTCCTTGGCCGGGCTCCCCCACCTCAGAAGGCAAGAAAACCGAGTTGCAGAGGCCGGGACTTGAGCTCCAGGACCCAAAAAGCCGTGTGGGTGTGCATTAAAATCGGGCGATAGACTACCCCAGAGACCAGGGCAGGGGTGAGAAAGGGGGAGTCTACTCGTGTCTACTCGTGTCCACGGCTCCGAACTCCCAGAACCTCTTCCGAAAGTTTGATGGGGCGCTGCCTTTGCCGGTGATGAAGAACTCGAAGACAGCCCCTTGGACTGCCGACTGCCTGACGCCTTTGCGGGCCCAGGTGTTCTGTGTTCTCTGGCACCAACGGCTGAGTGTTCCCTAATTAAGAGCATCATGGGGTAGAGCCTGGGCCCGGCTCTACGATTCACCCAAAGCCCTGACATTAGTGGAGGGCTTTTTGGACAGGTGAAGCAGATGAAACCTTTGAACCTTCAAGGGGCCTTTTCAGAAGTTGTAGGTGCCCATTGGTGGAAGACCTGGTCATAGTACACTGTGATTGTTGAGTTGTGCCCGTCCTGACAGGTGTACCCTTTTTCGTATCCCTGAGCCCGGAGGTCCTCCGAGACTGCGAAGAACGGTTCCGCAAAATTAACATCAAACGCACCAGGACGGGCACGTATATATGTTCCAAATCCATCCAAATCCACACGTCATTGGGCCTATCTTGTAGATATACCAATAAGCAATGCCTACATTGACCTCTGGAGACCTGACACCATCCGGGCCGCACACCTCAGGAGTGTCCCCTCTCCGGCGCAGGGATCGCACCAACGTCGCTTAGGTGGATCCTCGGGATAAGGCCTCCACCAAGGCCTTGGGCGTTCTCGGAGACGGGAAGACTTCCGGAGAGGGGGGGCTAAAGGAGACGAGCTGAAGCAGATGGACCTGCGTGTTCGCCAGAAAGGTGCTGGTGTTCACGGAGTTCTTGTGTTCTTGAATAAGTAGAGGATGTTAGGGAAGAGCCATTCTCCTTGTGGGCTGGGGCATGTGGAGAAAATTTTCCAGAGAGGTTGAGAGACCTGAAGGACCCAGTAGTGGTACACATGAGATGGGCTCATTGGGGTTGTTCACCCTCTCTTGGTTGATTCAACTCTGATCAGCTTTCGGCTCCCCTTTGAGATGGTGCAGGGGACGGTTGCTCTCTCTCTCTCTCTCTCTCTTCCGGCAGCGGCAGCGAAGTCCCTCTCTATGGTTTGCTTTTGTTCCCGTAGCGGCCGTAGCGGTAGCTAAGGATGCACAGATATTCCAAGCTGGCACCTTCTGAGCCAGCCGCTCCCAGGCCGTGATCAGTCCAAGGACCAAACCTGGCCTGGTACTCCTTGAGTACTGTCTGAAAGTGCATGACCTGACCCAGTGAAGCCTCTTTGACCTCGGCCCTAGGCTTCGCTACCACCATTATGGCTATTTCGGAGTCTATTAGATGTAGTTTGTTCCTTCCTGGACAGCGAGAGGTGCTGCAGCTGGAGACCGCCATGGGTGCAGCGATCCAATGTGGGGAAGACCCAGCGATCTTATGCGGGGATCGCGCTTGCCACCGAGTATACCAGAACCAACAACCTCCTGAGATGGCGGTTGGGGTGGGTTTTGGGGGTCTAACCACTTTCTGAATACTGTATATGGTTGGAACCCTAGGGTGCACCAGAACCAACAAAATCCCAAGCTTTTGCTGTAATTACATTGGGTGGCCAAGACCCCCAGTCCCGCGGGCTCGATGGGCTGTTGGATTCATTTTCCAAAGATGTGTTCAGCGCGGTCTCGTCCGCTGCTTCTAGGCCACCTCTCCGTGTGTCCATTACTGTAATAGTTTGAGTCAAGTCCACTGGTTTTGAGGGCTTGCCCTGGCTAAACCACTCAAAGAGGCCCACGGCCCAAGTGATATACCCAAAATTCATCTAATTAAGCTCAGCTCGTCTGGTGCAACCTGGAACCTCCTGCTGAACCAGCCAGCGCCCGCCGAGGCTTCCCCGGTGCTTCGGCGCTGGTGATCCCGCGCAGCCGCTTCGCGCCGGTGAAGACCACCAACGCCCGGGGCGCGGCAGACTGGGGTGGCCAGAAATGGCCAGAAGGTCCTTGAGTTGGATGATGTTAGATGTGGATTGGGAACAATCATGCCTGGAGATGCAAATCAAGAAGCCCTGTACACACAGTATAATTACACACAATTGGATCCTAATGTTTTCTTTTTGAAGTGGGGTGCTCCTGATGAGGAACACCTCACACCTACCATGAGCCAAAATGTCCGTCTCAGGATCTCCTGGCCTTGCGGTCCGATGCCTACCAGCTCACGGAGGACGAAACCAATGCCACACCAGACATGAGCACAGACCGTTATAATTAAAAGAAGGGCTGACCTGGTCTTTGTAGCATGTAATTAATCCTCAAAACAATTGTTTGGTAAAGGCTATCTTACATCAATGGCTCTTGGAATGATAATGTACCCACATCGGGGTGGTTGAAAAGGACTCAATCTATCGGATCATGATGGATCACAGTGGTCCAGTTCCCACAGTGGTCGGAGTCTTTGGCCCTATGGATGTTCCGGGCCGAAAACCTCGCGGAAGACCCCCCACTGATGTTCTGCACCGTCCGATGGTGTCAGCTAGCATGGTGCCAGCTGAGTCAGCTAGCTGCACCGTCCGCTGCAGTTGTGCAAGGACTTTAGGATCGTGCTGAAGGAGGAGCGCGATGGGGTGCCTCCAGATGTGAAGCTGGATGGCATGTACAAGTCGCTTGGATCTCCGCAGCGTTCGCCTGGTGGGGGGAGCTTTGTGCGAACTGGGAGTGCGAACTGGGGGTGATCCGGATTCGCCCCTACGGCTCCAACCACCTCCTGAGAAGGTGCTTGGGGTGGGTTTAGAGGGTCCAAATACCTCCTGAGGAGGTACTTGGAGCCCTAGGGAGCATTGAAAAGCCCAGCTCTCCACCTCTTCCAGGTGAAAAACTAACCCGGCCTCGTGCCGTTTCCACGGCCATAGATTGGCCCTGGCGCCGGTTTCGCCGGTTTCAATTACCCCAAGCTATAGTGTTTGGGTGATACCCGTTTGGGATCCAGTCGTTTTTGAACCTCAGAAGGTACGACTGCACCCTTAAAACCCGACATGACAGTGCCTCCAATCACCTGAGAAGGTACGACTGGATCCCTAGGGATAGGGCTCCAAGTCTCCGGATCCCATGTCAAAGCTCTCTCCGGCGGCTCTTCCAAATCCTTTTTGGGGGCCCACCAACCTTCAGGCCACGGCCGAACTGTCACGAAGGAATCCCTTCACCCAGGCACTTCTTTGGCACTTCTTGGTGGGTTTTAATGGTCACTGTGGACTACCTATGCCCTTTCAGTCCGCATAGCCTCGCGCAGCAGTGGGCGGCAACAACGGCTGGTCGCCTACCTCTGGTAGTAGATAGGCAGCGCTCCGTGTCGAAATCGACACCACGCGCCCTACATGCTCGTTCACACAGCACTGGACACCGGGCGGCAATGCGAACCCTCTCTTTGTCTCAACCTTCTTCGCTCACACGCCGCGCGTGGTTGAGGTTTACGGACGCCATGGAGAAGATGATCCCCAACGGTGCTCCCTCGCTGGTGGGCACGGATGCATAGGAAGTTGGGAGCACCGCGTTTCTCAAATGTGGACTCTTGAATGACCCTCCCCATTTGGATAGTGAAAGCTTATATCAATAGGTGGGGTTTATGACTTTCCTGTCGAAGTTCCAGCAGAAAGCATTCCTTAAAAAAGTGGCATCCACGTCGAGGTGAATTGGATGTTCACTGGTCACTGTTTCTGGTGTCCCGGTTCGGATCTGGGTTTTGACATGCAAAGCTTCTGTGCGTCGAGGTTGGGCTGCTCAGCTAGTTTGAACATATCTTGTTCAAGGTCAGTGGCTCTCACAGTCCTATCCAGGTGTGAAAGACTGACCCCAACCTCCTTCCACCACGAAACGCTTTTCATCAAAACCTTCAGCTCTTCAGCTTCTGCTCCAGTTCATCCTCCCATTTTGGGATCTCCTTACTGCTTTGCTCACTCAGAATCCCAACTCCGGTTTGCCACACCTCGCCCACGCCGTTCTGCCTCCCGAGGCTGCAAGAAGTTGGTGGTGGAAGGAGAGGTGACCTTCGCGAAAGACGTGGTTTGGGGCGCCCAGTGTCGTCCGGCTTCGTCGCAGATCGCACGTTTGGTTTGGTCCTTCTTGTCCGCACCAAAGCGATCCAAAGGGATCAGAGAGGTTTGGTATGGGTTTTGTTCTGCGTGGGCAACGTGATGTGTGGGAAACGTGATTGGAGCGAAGGTCTGCTGGACCCCCCCAAAGCTAATCGCTATTGGGCTCCAACCCTCAGGTGCTGGTGGGTTTTGGTGGGCTGGCTGCCTTCTGAGCATGTGGTTGGAGCCCTAGAGAATGGTATCCGATTTGGACAGGATAGCGTGACAGGTTGTCCATCAATCATTCGTCCGATGCATATCCGTCAAACACAACAACGACCCAGACAGGACCTGAGACTGAGACTGCTACATATTGCCATGCATTGTGGTGGTTAACAAAGGCGTCAATGTAGGCAAACAAAAATCACCAGTCCCATGGAATCTACTTGCAGTGGAGCGTCACTTGTAGATCGGACCATCCAGTTAATGTCGGTGTTTGTCTTACAGTGGTTCAAGGTCGTGTTCGAGTTCAGGGTTTGATTTGAGGTCAAAGGCCCGGGGAACCCATGCTTTTCTAATACATCCCGCATCTTCCTATCATGAACATGGAAGGGACTACATCCTTCTCCCCTACACTTTAGGGCCATTCCAGCCATTTTACGACCAAAGAGCGCATTCTATACCACCCCCATCCACCCCGCCGCGCCGGCTGGTTGCGGCTGGACCGTGCCCAGGTCATCAAGGGCACTGTAACCATTAAGAACACCAGCGGCGGCTCGAAAGAGGCAGGGTTCCAGGGAAGAACATCGGGGCGATTCCACTGGCAGGTGCAAACCTATTGAGCTTTTCACGTGAAGGGCTTTGAAGGGCTTGGGGCCTTGGGGCTCGGCCCAAAGGTGCGAATCTTTATAAGACCATTTACAGTGGATGCGGATCTCAAGACTGGAAGGATCTCAGATCTTCCGAATCTTCCCATGTTGAGGAACTCGATCGGACGATTGGAGGAAGGAAACTCATATCCATCATCTCAACCCGGGACAACTGGACCACTGACTGCCAGAAACGGGGACAACCCATCGTCCCTTTCTTCCATGAGGTCCGGGACAACCCATCGACCCTCCCAGGTCCGGTCCACCGATCCCCCCAGGAAGGTCTCCACGGACCGGTCCAGGCATGACTCGTTTTGACTCGTGGGACTGACATTGATGTTATATGTGACCGTGAGTTCGGAAGCAGCTGGTACTGTCCGCTGGTATATTATATACCCTGAGAGTCAAAGACTATAAAAAGAATGGTCTGACTAGGTGACCCGAAAAGGAACAACCTTTACTTCAGCCGGTCAAAATATAGTCGACTTGGACTTCTAGGGACTATACCAGGACCCTCCTGTCGGGGTGTCTATTTCTAGCTCCAAACAGCTGGCTGTGATTCGGGGTGTCCATTAACATCCATTCACCACCCCGACTGGGGGTCCTGGTAGTGATATGCATTAGGGTGGTTGATTTCCAGTCCCATGGACAATGGAATTTTTGGGTGTAATAGGTGTTCAACCTTGCATCATCTCGATGTGTTTCGATGTGTGTCTCGATTTGGATATGACGTCAAGACCCGAACTGCGTAGACGGCCTGGACCTTCCTATGCCTGCTTATGCACCACAGAAGGGTCGTGAATATGCAGCCAAGCAGGGAATATGAAATGTCCTCTAGATCTCTTGCTTTCAGCTGGTTTCAGCGTTGGCTTCGTAGCAAAGCATGCGGACTCATCCTTCAACCAACTCGAAGGTCCCATATGCGGTCACTAGGCGCCTGGCGCCTGGCCTGCTAGGGAGAGACATCAAACGTTTTGTTTTTGACGGCCGTTGTCAGGTGCCCTCCGGCACCTATGAGGATACCACCAAGGCGTGGGACGTGCACCGCAGTGCTTCGCCGCATCGACGTTCGGCGCTGGTCCATTCACCATTCCGACGGTGGGCTTTTGGGAGCCTTCAAGCAAGTGAGTAGAAGGAGGTCACGTGTCGGGGTGGTGTTTAGTCCCATCAAGTGAGTGGATCATTTGTGACTCCTGGTGTAGACCTATATATACTTCTTCTCAGTCCTCAGGCATGAAGCTCTGGGCCCCCAGTGCCCTGTAGCTCATGAGGAACCAAGGATGAAGCCCCAAACACTGGGCCCAGGAAGACAGTTTTCGGGTGAAAGAGTGAGCCCAGAGCAGCAATGTGGGTTTTTCAAGTTTCAGTGATTGAAACGAACAGAATATAACATAGTCATGTGTTTAAAAACATGTTGAAAGAACTTCTGACTTTAAAGCCAACCCAATTCAATTGGTGCGATGAGAAGACGGTTTGCTTCCCTCCAGGAACGAACTTGGAACATTTGGGAACGGACCTTGAGGTTTGGTTGATCGAATGAAGATAGGCCTCCTTCTTCCCGTGCGTCCGCGGACCATGACCAGAGCCAGGCCGCCCGTTAACCAACCTAACATGTTAAGGATTGCAGCTTGGGTCTGTGGGGTGGATTGATTATATATATATATATATCGATATGTTCATCAATTGGAAACGCTGAAATTTGGGGACTGGTGAGAGAATCTCCAAGCGCCCCAAGTGCACGGGGCTTGTCGACCTTCGGTCAGGAGCTCTGAGTCGAGCGCCCGCGCTCGCGCTCGCGTGGGCGGTGCCGCCCCCGTGGCAGCTTTCAAGGTCAGGTCATCAATGCCCCAGAGGAGGTGCAGTCGAAACCATTTAGGTTGATGAAACACATTATTTGATGGGAGCGTTGATATCTTGTTATCAAACATGGACAGTATATATAAGATCTTGCAAGAGGTTGTTCTTCAGGGTGTTTGAGGGATTTTAAGGGGGGTGTTCACAGCACCAGCCACATGCAGGTGTAATTTCTGGGAGGAGTGCCCTGAAGGCCACCATTTTTTGAGATCATTCTCAGGCAACCTGAGGCATATACATATTTCAAGTGTATATTATATATGTATAATATTACTAATACTTGAAAAAGTCATACCACTTACAGCACACCCACAATAAAGATCATAAAGATCATGCACATGTTGTGCAACTGGCAAGACTTCCGTGCTGTGCATGATTCCGTCGATCACTACCATCGGCAGATTCAACAAATCCAAAACCAATTGCTGAGCAAAAACGCATGCGACGCCCACCGGCACAGCGCATCGTTTCGGTGGGTTTCTTCAGTCAGCAGGGCCATTTGGTGGGGACCGCGGGCCTTGGCATGGATCGCACTGAACAGCTAGGGGTCAGGAAGACATGACCTTCGGAGTTGGACAACGTTGGGGTACTCCCTGGTCCTTTGGAACTCCCTGGTCCTTTGGAACTCCCTGGTCCTTTGGAACGCAAGGAGGGAGCTGATTCCAGTTCTTTTTGGGGGGAGTTCTGTAGGTCATGTCCATATCTATAGGATTCTATAGGTCTTACATACTGCCACACCTCCGGTACCCCTGAACAGTTTTCATGGGCGTCGGGACGTCCGCGGGGTTTGGGTCTCCAGATTCCGGCGAGGGACCACTCTTCGGAACGACTTCTTGGGAGTCGACCTTCTTCTCCAACCTTCCCCACTCTGAAGGAGGAGAAGTTGAACCAGAAAGGCTGCTTTGGGAGTGGAATTGTGGTGGTATTGGATGCATACGGATGACGGTGCCCAGACAGGTCCAGGTCAGGACAGTGCAGTCCGTGAAGGACGTGTTTGAACAACTTTTCCGGTTGGAAGAGGTCTTTTTCCGTACTGCATCATCCAGCTGGTGCAAAAACTCTATACCTTTTTGTGGTATCGGTATGCATAAACCATTGGTTTACCCCATCTACCCCGAAATACGCATCCTACAGCTGGCTGGACTGTGAAAGGCACAAGAAAGAGAGCCGTCAAATGGCCCAGCGACCAATCAATTTGAACTCTATCCGCTATGTCAAAGACCATCTCTTGCGGCCCACAGCGGCCTCCATTTTGTCCGGAAAAAGGTTGCAACGAGAAGAGCTCCACTGATGTGATGTCATGTCTATGATTTCTTGATGTAGGTGTGTGCAATTGCAGTAATTATTTGCATGTTCCTCTTTTTCGAGGCATTCCAAGAGCAAGGGAAACGGCGTTCCACATTGTTGTTGCAATTAATTAGTACTTCAGAAATCTTCTGAATGTCGATCCTCACTCCATGTCCGAGCGCTGTGTCTTTTGGCTTGACTTTTGGCGCAAAGAATCTTCGCCTGTGGCTGCAAGCCTGCTTCCACGGCAAACGAGAATGAATGACCGCTAGAAACTGTTGGCTTGTACAAACCTAAAAGGGCTTCGCGGGCCACTGGGGCAAACTTCCATCTTGTATGAATTGTTGGGCGTCTTTGTGAGACGACTCTGGGACGAGTCATGCCCGCCAGAGAGAGAGAGAGAGAGAGAGCCGATTTGTTTCAGATTGTCCATGCAGAGACGCCCAAACAGAATCAACTAGATAGATTAGATAGAAAAGTAAAGAAATGTTAATCCCCACTGATAATGTTTTGCAAACCATTTCTATCTATTTGGGTGCCACTATGCAGAGATGCCCCTTGTTTCAATGACGGCCGTGCAGATTTGCCATGGCCATGTCAAATCCAATGGCGATATTCGAGACGGTGCGGCGAGTTGCGATGCCAATGGGGTGGTGTGGGGCGTGTTTTTTTCCAAGTAAAACGTTTAAACCAAACCGATAGGACGTGATCTGTGCATGGAATGGGCTCCGTTGTCGTACCTCCTAAACGGTTCGGTATGAGTCGGACCCTCCTGCGCGCCCGCACCCTCCCAGTCCCACCTTCTCCTCAGGTTCGGTACGAAAACGGAGCCTTAGGGGAGGTCAGAAACTGGTCTCTTCGTTCCTCCAACCTTGTCCAGATCATGCCACTTGCTTTCCTTTGCTAACAGCCAAGTAAAAAGGAGAAGCAAACGAGCAGAGAAACCAACGTTCCAATATTCCAATACTGTAGTTGTTGGTGATGTTGATGATGATGTTGTTGATGATGATGATGTACTGTGGTTTCAGAGTGAATGGCACAAACACAAAGATGATCAAAGATGTGTGCTTTTTTTGATAAGGGGATTGTGCCATCTACTCGGAAATCAGTGTGTTTCTTGCTAGTTTGCTAGTCACGTGCGCATGGTTGAAAACCCTTGGACCTCCCAATGGGCAGTTCCCAAAAAGCGCATAACCTCAAGAGTCCAAGAGTGAGGTCGAAAAATATCTGAATGGGTTTAAGGAAAATCTCCAGGAAGCCAGGGTTTTCAGATGTCTTTCACCCTCAGAATAATGGGTTTCCTGCGTTTCCTGTTGAATTTTTCCCTTATATAAGCCAATTCTTGGAACAAATCCCTGCCCATCGCAGACAGATGACTTGTGTTCTTTGCAGATGGGTCAACACCCCAACTCACCTCGTGGTAAAGACTGCCTCACATCGGTCTCGACCGAAAGATGGTGTGAAGAAAACTATTCGGGGACCTCGGGGGGGCATCTCAGGGCCTTCTTGTTGTGGTAAAGCCGATGAAACCATGCCCCGGTCGCCCGTGCTCGAACTCGAACCCTCACGAATTTCCTGGCAAACACCACCCTAACGCGATCAACTCTCGCAGGCGCCTGCCCTCTCTGTGCTTGTTGCTAGCTTCCTGCCGCCCATCGACCTCGGCACCTGGCGCCGCACGGCGCGCGCGGCCGCGGCGACGAGCCGCTCGGTGCCACGTCCAGCGCTGTGGGTGCTTGGCGGCACGGCGCCCCCGTCGCTGGCGAGCGTGGAGGGATGGGATGAGGAGGCAGAGAGGCCAGGTGAAGGTCGGGAGGGTGATGGGTGGCTAGGCGGTGAGGTCGGGCTCAAAAAGCATGTGCACCCGGAAAACATCATGATAAGAGTCCGTTCCAAGAACAGAGCCTGAACAGGCATGTGTGGAGCCAGGTGAATTCCGATGGCCTTTTTGAGAAAGTACTGCTGAGAGAGAGAGGGGGGGAGGGAGAGAGAGAGAGAGAGATAGAGGAGAGAGAGATCGAGATACATTAATGCGCATATCAACATTTCTAGCTTTGAAGGGTTTTTTGGCACACTTGTTTGCACACTCGTTGTGTTTTTAAGTCATTTGGATCCATTTGGGCCTGGGAGGCCTTTTGAGAGTGTGCCAACGGTGCTGAATTCGGAGCCCTTCTACCGAGACGTCCTGAATTCTGGAGCTGCTTTTGACAGTGGTAATGACGGTGCAAGCGGTTTGCAAGGTGGTTTGAATGTAATAACCTAATACATCCTAATACCCATTTGGTGGTAAACCTTGAAAGCATCATCTTTTTGGGTGGCTTGGACTGTAGAAGGTTAATGGATGTTTCTAGGAGCACTGAGGGGGGTTGGGTATATCCAACAAACAAACATCGTAGCAACACAGCTTGTGCCAACATCACTGCTACGAATACATCTCCACTGGGGACTGCCAGGTGGGAGGTGCTGACACCACTGCCAGCCCGGCGCTATGGCCATTGCTGTGCCATTTTGAAGTCGGACGCTGCAAGGGAGTTGCAGGGGTGTTGACAGGTTTGGAGGGTGCCCGACTTATGACATGTGGCTTGAAGTTAAACGGTTAAACAAACACCATTTGATTTGCTTGGTGCTTTCATTGGCTAGGAGAACAACACGCCATGCTTTTGGCATTTTGGGGCACCCATTGGACCGTAGCCTGCCCTCCAATTCGTGCTTCGGCACCTGTGACGCCACAGGTCACATCCCGGTCCAGATAGGCTTAGGCGGCTTAGGCCTTGAGATCCAAACAAGACCCAGAGGATCCCACCTTCACCATCCAAAACCACCAAATGTAGGCGATAGGATCCACCACCGGATCGTTTGGGACAGGCCATCGAACAGGTCGCCTCGCTGGAGGCCGGGTGCCTACCCAGTAATGCCCTTGTTAGCGATGCCCGGAGCCCCTAGGAGCATCCTCTTGTTCCTAGTAGGTGAGGCCAGGAGTCCCTATAGGTATAGCGTCCGATCGAGCTGTTTGTAGCGAGGCCAGGAGCCCCAACGAATCGCTTCACCTCATGGCATCGATCTGCAGGACCTGTACCTGCTCGGCGGCGTCGGTGGCCCCCGGGAGGCCTTCCGCTGGAATGGACAACGTTGGATTGAGCGCCTGGGATTGAGTGTTCCGGGTGAGCTCCCGGAGGAGGCATGGCGCCAGGTCGCGTGGATGAGGGTAAAGCCATGTAAACCCCATGTAAACCAGGGAGGTTGGTTTGATTCATCAAAAGATCAACATTACATGGGACCACCCCAAAGACCACGACAACTAAACTGCCAGTGAAAAGTCTGAATAGAAAGGAAAGTCGGGATTTTGCATGACGGTCTTGTCGTTCTGGTCTTGGGGGATCCTAAGCATGAGTTTCCATTCGCGGTTCAGACGGTTCATTCATGATTTGGGCCTCCATAATTCTTTGAGATTGCACCCCCTTCCCACGGGGCATGGTGGGGCGCACACAGACACACACACACACAGACCGCTTTTTGCATGGCTGAGCCTGGTTCCCTGCAACAAACAGCAAGCGTACTTTTCTGTAGTAATTCGTAATTCTAACAAATTTAACAACCAGGTGGAGTAAACTTTTGAAAGGTATCCTGAGCAGCCTGTTTAATTTTCGAACTGCAACACCAACGGAACGACCCAAATCCCAAAGCAGGAGAGGCCTAAATTTACAAAGGAATTGTTCGACTAATCATTAGCTCTGGGGTCGCCAAGACAAGGGGATCAAGGTATGGATGACCATTGTGCTCAGGGTCGTCCCATGTGGAGCCTCCCAACCATAGTGTGTTCTTGAATGTCATTTTTTGTTCAGGGTGCTTTTCTTATAATTTGTTCAAGTCCAACAGCACAAGACGACCTCATACTACTCAATCAACTACTCACTACTCATTTCGGATATCATTCAGAAGCTGAGGCTTCCAACCATGCCGGTGCCCCGTGTGGACGCTGCAGCCGGGGGCCATGGATGTCGTTTGATGGGTTGGGTTCGCGTGCTCGGAACAGTATCGGTAGGAATTCGGAATGCATGTTCATCCCCAATTGATACAACTTGTAGTTGGGTGATGTTGGGTATAGATCTGGTACCAGTCTTCCGCCCATTCCCAGCCAAGTACAGAAACAAGTAGATGCATCCTGCACCGCTCATTCCCAGCCCCGTCAACGACTTGAGGCTGTCTCCTGGGCCTCTTATCTCTACGTGCTGGGCGGCGCCGGCAACGCGAACGCCTCCAACCGGCCGCTGGCCCATTGCAGCCGATGGGCACCGCAGGCAGCCGAGGGATGCCCCGTCTCAGCAAGATGTGCTTCTAACTGCGCGTCGGAGCGATGCCAGGAGCTTCTAGTAGCGTCCTTGCTCGGAGCCCCTAGTAGCTTCTTGTTCCTAGTGAAGAACACATGCAACTGTGAGGCTGTGAGGCCGCAATATGCCACAATCATGAGGTCACTCTTAGATTAGAAAGATGTGGGTTGTGAGGCCCCAGACATGCGAACCGGCTGACATAGCAACACAAAGGGTGGCGAGGCATTTGGAGGTGCCACCGGCCAACTCAGATGTGGAAACTATACCTGCTACATCCTGCTAACACAAGGAAGACAACTAGTGGCATCTTGTTACTAGTAGCGATGGCCTCCGACCTACTTGCGATGGCCTTCATGGCTTCCACCGAGCATAGCGTCCTTGTTACTAAGTAGCCTAGTAGCTCCTGGTCCTATATATTCTGCCAACCGGCCAGGCCGCCTCTTGGGAATCGATCCCCGCCATGTCCTGTGGTCGTGCCGCCCTGGCGGCCGCGGCTCCGCTGGGCCGTGGCGTGGTGGCCACGGGCGGTGGCCCGGGCGAGCGCCGGTGCGAGCGCTTCGATGAGACGGCCTGGTGCTGGAGACCGGCGCCCGCCATGGCGCTAGGCCGGCAGGGCCATGCGGCAGTGGCCGTGGAAGGCGAGACGAGGGTTCAAGTAGATTGGGTTTCCGGCGCGAGCAGCCGGATGGCCGAGCTAGATGCGTCTAAGTAATACAAAACTCTATGTACTGTAATACTATACACGAAACTGTACGCAAAACCCTGGTAGTCCTGGCCGACCAGGTCACCTGGTGGTCCTGGGGGGCCGAGCTCATGGGCGTCCCAGTGCTGCCGTGGAGATTTGGTTGTCGAACGCGAAGGCTTGGGTGCCCTTGGCACCTTTGCAGCTGCGAAGGCGCCGAAGGGGTGAGCCTACATGGAGAGGGAGCTTCAGTGATGTAAGTGTGTGTGTGTGTGTACCGTATACATCCATATATATATATATATAAAACTGTCATACTGTATACCCTGACCTCCTGTGTCAAGCCACGGGAAATCATTCATTCAATGGTCAACACCATTGGGCGTCGACGTAGGGATCACTCCATCACCTGTGGCACCAGCCTTTTACAGAGATGAGAGTTCAGCACCCAACGTTTCTCCCATATAGATCGTTGGCCTCAAACCCAGGGCATCCAGGCAGTTACCACGATGTCGCTGGGGGTCCCAGTGGTTCCAGTTCGACTAAAACCATAGACCAAACGAATCCCTGGTTCCTTATATAATTAGTGATTTGCCTGGGATGCGCTGGGTTTGACGTCCAGGAGGAGAGACGTTCCTGTTGAGGGTGCGAGACGTAAACGTGACCTGTACTGTGCTTCTCTGAAGCGGTCAGCACTGTTGGTGTTTCATGGCGTTTTCGCTCACCTTTACGCTGGTGGTTGAGAAAACACAGCTCTTTGTCATTTGTATACTCAGTTTCAAAGTCGACTACGTGAAGGTACCCAGTACCTTCAAACTATTTACAAACGTGACCAGGACCTACTGCTGGGATCTCAAAAGGTCACTGGTGCCCGACATGTTGTTGGCTTCCTGCCAATCACGCGAGCAAGCAAGCAAGCAAGCAAGCAAGCAAGTTTGAAGTGTTTAAGTTATACTGTTTAAAATCATAAGTCATGTTCATGCCAAAGTAAAATACACATCACACTGTGACATCAGAGACGAGATGAAACCGTGTGGACTGGATTGCATGATCTGCCCACCCTGTACGACAGTCCACTGACATCCAGGACCAGCGTCCAGGACCTCCCCTCGCAGGGTTGCGGCAGGGGAGAAAGGTGATGGTAGGTGGGCAGGCTAGATCGTCCAATGCCAAGGTGTTTTGCCCCCTAGACTAGAGCTCCGGGTGCCTCAGAAGGTATGACTGGACCCTCCTGGCACCCACCCCAGTCCCACCTTCTCAGAAGATATTTGGAGCCCTAGGGTTGATGTGCCTTCGGAACCCCAGGTGCAACCCTGCAGCTGCCGTCCTCTCTGGGCACATCTACGTTTGCGGTGGCAATGATGGAGCGCGGTCCTTAAGCGCCCTGGCGGGCATGTTTTGCTGGAATCGCCGACACCAAGAGGATTTCCCAAAAGGCTTTCCAGATGTTTTTTGAGGAAAATCGCTGGGTGACCCAAACAGGATTTTCAAGTTCTCCCATGGAAAGTCCGCCACGACCACCTCGGCGAAAGCAAGCCACGGCCACCTAAACCGTGAGCTGAATGGACTGTCCTAAAGTATGGAAGTCCTGAGGACCAGACCCCATACACTCCATGTATGGAATATACCGTAGGGATCCTGGCCCATATCCTCAGGTTCGGTGGTTAGACACCCCTGGCATCCACCCCAACCATCGAACCTCGGGAGGTAGGCCAGGAGCCCTAGGGATATATGAATGTATGCCGCCCCCACACAGACCTCCCTGGCACCACCCCAATGTATATAGGTCAATATGCCAGTCTCATGGGTCGTGACGGTCGTGTCTGGGACCTAGATGTTCGTCCTCCAATGGTTGGGTGGGGTCCCTTAAGTGAGTGGATCATAGCCACTCCCACTCCATGGAACTACTGGTTGTTTTATGGTCATTCCAGGACTCCAAGACACAACCTGTCTAGGACTAGCAGAGTGATCAGGGCCTGGGGGGTTGCTTGACCTGCATTCCAGGTCGATCAGACGACAGATCCCAGACCATCCATGCACGGACTAGTTATTTATGTATTTACGACATTCCGTACCCCCCCACCTAAACCTCCACAGTGATGTAAACAAAAATCATGAACCTGATCCCAGACCATCAAAATGGAGTGTTTGGATCCTGTGAACCATTGGCTTTCCTTCCTCGCTCCGCTTGCGCGGTCCCGTCACAGGCGCGGTCGAGCGCTTGGATCTCACCGAGCTCGATGCGCCGCTGTCCCGTCCCGTGGCGACGTGCCGATGGGCATGGCTTCCCAGCTTGCAGGTGGCGCGGAGTGCGGCGCAGGCAGTGGTCCGGGTGCTCAGATGGAGAGGACGGGCGAGGGATTGAGGTTTTTTCACCTGAAACGGTGTCCTGAGAAGGGCGTTTGGTGGGGGGAGGTTTAGACAGGGTTTTCTATTATTAGTAATCAACCACATGATTTAGATTTGAGCATTGGCAGGAATTGGCCGGAGGCCGGGCAGGTTCGTGTAGCATTTGACTGGAATCATGGAAATAAGCTCCAGTGGTTTGGACAGTAAGTGAAAGCTCCAGGTGCCATTGAGTCCTGAACGTTTTGATCCTTTCCAGCTCGGCCCGACGTGGCGGCGTCGGTGGAGGCTCCGAGCCTTGCCCGAACCGGGTCGGGTCATCCGATGTCTCAGGGCCCGTCCCACGGCACCATGGATGGACTTGAGATCCAGTTGGGTACCCCAGCAAGGTCCTAGTTCAGGTCACTTCACCTGTCGACGGGGAGTGCATCAGACCAGGCTTCGCCACGGAACCGTCGACCTTTGCAGCACAGAACGTCCGAAAGACGCCCAACCGCGTGAGACGCAGCACAGCCCAAACGGCCGAGCCGCCGCGGCGCGGGGACGGAAACCGCGCTGGACTCGTCTCCGGACTCGGCCCGTCGGGGGCTGTGGAGTGGTGCGGATGGACCTCGAGTCGTGGCTGGATGCCCGGCTTGCCTCAGCCGCAGCCTCAGGAGAAGGAGGAGGTTCACAGGTCTCTTTTTAACACTTGGTTCGGCATAATGTTTTTAGAGAAACGGCGGAAATAGACTGACCGAAAAACACTGTGGTAAGTTGGATCTTGATGAATCAACCACCTCATTGGGAGTGTGAAGCCGCTTCAGTCCTGTGATCAAGATTCTACATGAATGAAATTGAAATGCATCTACTCTTTGGGGAACCTTCAACAAAGCTACTCTATGCCTGGACCCGACTTCAAGTACATTAAAATACTCTACTTCGAGTGATCCCCACCATGACATTTCAATCATTTGTCGTCATGCCATGGTGAGGAACATGTTGCCATGGTCGTGAGTTTTGTGGTTCTCGACTTTGTTTGTGGGTCCTCGGGTTGTGTGGTGTGATTGTGTGCTGCGAATGTGTCTTGTGGTTGTGTGTTGTGTTCGTGGTCGTTTGTTTGTGGTTGTGATTGTGTTTGTGGTTGCGGTCATGTTTGTGGTTGTGTGTTTGTGACTGTGTTTGTGTGTTTGTGGTTGTGTGTTGTGGCTGTGTGTTTGTGATTGTGTTTGTCGTTTGTAGTTGTGTTTGTCGTGTTTGTGGTTGTGATTGTGTGTTTGTGATGGTGCTTGTGTGTGTGGTTGTGTGTTTGTGATTGTGTGTGTTTGTGATTGTGATTGTGTGTGTGGTTGTGGCTGTGTTTGTGATTGTGTGTTTGGGTTGTGTGCTGGTTGAGGTCCGCCGGGGAACGCTGCCAGCCAAACCTCGCGGATGAGGTCCGACCGGGAACACTACCAAGCGGAACCTCGCTGTTGAGGTCTGGCGAGGAACTCTGCCATCCGGAGCTGGCGGTTGAGGTCCGGCGGGGAACACTACCATCCGGAGCTGGCGGTTGAGGATGACGCGGAGGCGGAGGAGGATGAGGACGAGAAGGGGGACGAGGAGGAGGAGAGGAGAAGGGCGGCAGCTGACATTACAATCTAACTCTGTCAGGTGGGGTAAGATTGGATAATTGACCCAGTTAAAGATATGCATGTACAGGTGCGTAGGGCGCCATTGTACGAGCTGAGACTCCAGGTGTTGGTCCAAATGAGTTGACCCTTTGTTCCCTCACATTGCTCACCCTCACCCGCTGCTTTCGAGCCAGTGCTCGTTCGATTTTTCTGCGCGGATCTTAGATAGATATAGTACTAGTAATATAGTACTTTGGCTGTAGTATCTTGTAGCGCGAGTTGGGTCCATTTTCAGAGATGTCCACTTGTAAATTTATGACCCCGACGTGTGGCCCCCCTGGTGTGTTGGTCGTGAGGCACATTTTAAGTATGCGGTGTGTGTGTGTGCCTTTTTCAAACCATTTCTTTATATACATACATTTACAGATCAGTATTGTATATGCCATGTGTTTATATATAATTTGTACTAGTTATTCCTTTTTGCATGTAGGTTACTCTATGGAGCTTCGAATGCACGCAGCAAAGAATCTATTTGTTCCAGCTGCTTTGGTCAAGGCATGCTTGGTGGTTTTCCTGTCCATTCATTTTGCCTTGGTTGGCGTCTCGGCGGGGAATGCGTTCGGATGGAGAACCGGACTCCTGGACTCGGAGCATCCAGCTATTCTTCACACCTCCCTGACGCATTCGTGGATCTCAGGGAGGGTTGGTTTCAGACCTTGGTAAAGATGTGCTGGATGTGTGCTGATGTAAGGAAAATTACGGCGATGCGTGGACTAGTTCGAAGCCACCCACTCTTCAATTTGAAGAGCCTCTCATGTCAAGCAGAGTCAGTACAGTGGTTTCAGAAAAGATTGCACAAACCCAATGTTTTTTTGATGGGATTCCTTTGTGGGATTGTGCCGTCTACTTTCCATCCACAGTATTGATTTTTTTGGAACCTGCTGGGGCATCAGTAGCTTCAAACTGACCTTTTTAAGTTTCTACCCACCTCTTGCATGACATCTCTTGGCCGCACGGGAAACCCCCAACAAAGCTCAGACATACCCAGAAACATGTATGGAATTTTATAGAAATAATGATAAGTTTGATTGTGTTTTCATGTTTTTTGCCTATATACATTGGTTGGTTTCAAGGGACAATGTAATGTCGACATCGTATTAATCAACGGCCCCCCCCCTAGAATCAACAAGGTCTGAGATTGGAGGTTTTGGAGATCACATCCCCCTAATAGTGGGGATGACCTGATGATGAAAGGGAATTTGATTTGGAAGAATTGGAATGAAAGGGAATTAGTATTTGGAAGAACTGAGATGAAAGGGATTTAGTATTTGGAAGAATTGGAATGAAAGGGAATTAGTATTTGGACGAATTGGAATGAAAGGGAATTAGTATTTGGAAGAATTGGAATGAAAGGGAATTAG